TGCAGGTGGCTGAATGTTGCTGATTTATCAATGAATAGCAAAGAATATAATAAAAATAACCTAGTTCATTCTGCTATTTGAAAAGCTATTAGCAAACTAGTTCATTTTATTTTATTTAAATAACTTAAAATGAACAGTGGTCCCAACTTCAGCCCCAATGTTTCTAGCAGCCTTTATTATTTTTCTAGTTTATTTAAATCAAAATAAAAGTTTGAAGGGCTAGAAAAAAAATATTTCTGCAATGAATTCAATGTAGATTGAAAGGTATGATGAACTTTATTTCCGGCTCTTTATCTGGCTAGGGCAGTGTCAGCACCGGCAATATTCATGCTTTGCAGAACTTCAGGGAAGACCAGGAAAAAACATCTGCTGAATTCAGCCCTTTTGGGCATTCCTCTGGCTGGAGTTTCATCAACTAAACTGTTCACTGTATCACACCTCAAGTATACATCCCAACAGAATCATAAACAATACACTCAATCTGCACAGCAACCATAAACGTTTTTGTACAGCCACCTATTTCAGAGTTTAGTTTAGAGCTGTCATTCTTAATCCTCCTTTTATAATGGGACAATTTCAATGTTTGGATTTTGAGCTAATTATTTCATTCTTCTCTTTTTTGGTAACTTTCCCCAACTTCTCTAACAGTTTGCAGAATTCAGTTTGTTAAAGGGTTATTAGTTGACATATTGGATTTGTGAGTCAGCACAACATATAATTTACTCCTCCAAGGTCTTGATTTAAATTAGGTTATGCCGAGGTTACTGGAACTTGTCCTCATATGATAACTTAATAAGATGAAAATTAGTTCAGGTTAGCCAACTCTGATATATAGCACACTGGGTAGCTCAGTGATCCTGAATCCAAAGCTATTTTATTCAGTAATGACTGTTTTGTAAAATACAAGAAACATATCTTTCTTATATTGTTCCAGTAGTAATTATGTGTTATAAAGTACTAGAGACATACACTTTATCACTACTGAAAGCAATAGATTAATCAATGCCAATTTTCTATTAATGAAGACAGAATTAATTATATGATGCAGGAAGATCATTACAACTCTTAGGTTACTGAACACAGATGTTAAATTGCTGTGCCAAAATAAGAAATATAAGAAAAGTAAAATCTATTGAACCAGACGCTCAGCTTGAGTTACTTGGTGTAACTCCATTGATTTATGTTAGCTGAAGACTTGGCCCATAATGTTTCCTACTTTTTATGACAAATAATCATTGTTGGCATCAGATAACTCCCTCAAAGTTGTAATAAAATATATTGAAAAATTGTGTTAAGAGCAAACCTATAGGGAAATATTTTCTATTAGTTAGAGCAGATTACAGGGATCCATGATTCCCAGTATCTATTCCTGACTCTGAACCACACATGAAGGGTATGATGTTATAATCTTGTAGTAGTTAGGTAGTCTGGATATAGTATCTGGTTCATATGTGGTGGGCAGATAAATTGTTTAGTTGGGAACACAGTGTGCGTGTGTTGCTCCCTGTGGTCCAGATGGAGTAAGGGGTGGGGGGCTGATCTAGAGGAGGAGGGTGAGAAGTCATACTGGGGAGGTTGGTGTTGGAAACTTAGCTGTGAATTTCCTGCTTTTAAAAGGCAAATTATTTACAAACTTCTCTTTCAACAATTTTATAAAATACTTTGAGATAACCGAATAAAAGTATCATCATCATCTCCTCCTCCTCCCAGTGTCAAGGTTGGGTAGGGCTGAATAAAAGGCATGATAGAGGTACAAATTCTTATATTGAAAGTGCTGGTGACAACCTGCACTACTTAAAGTTTACAGTGCTTGATACAGGCATGACCAGCAAACAGACACAGACAAAGTAATATGGTTAACCAACAGCCACATCATTGATATAAACACCACCTGAAACTAACAAAAATCTATAGTCCCATGCAATATACAACCTTCCTATGGACCAATTACTAAAGTGAATATGGCCACCTTAGCACTGCCCCTAGAGATGTCCAAAAATGTTTGGCAATGCCTTCTCCTTGTCCAAAGAAATGAGAACCTCTCACAGAAGCTCCTCTCTTCATCTTTAAAATTGAAGTACCATCCTACCTTAACATTGCCCAACTTTGTCCCCAAGTTCTGAACGTCAGTGTTGGCCCCTGCCAACTAAGCTACTATACCGATCACTGCCAACAAGCTATAACATCACCACATGATATGTCACAGTGGTTTTGGTAAGGCACACAACCAAAAAAGAAAAACAAAACAAAAAGCCTCCTAAAAAGCCTACAAGACCACTTAACCAGGCCAATCTACAGTTTGGGAAAATTCCTTCCTGATCCCAAACTGGTTATCAGCTAATTCAAAGTACAAAGGACAGAAGGTCATGCATCAAACCAATGACACCCAATAAACTAAGCAGCTGGGATGCTGCAAGCCCTGGCAAAAATGGCCTAAAGCCTTTTGATAACATGGTCTCCCACTCTACAGGAGACAGGCAGCTCCAGTCATGGCCCCATTATGGCCTTTATATAGGCCAGTCAGACTATCAGGGGAGGCTGAAGAGATCCATCCCACTTCTCAATAGTACGTGGAGACTCCAGGAGACTCAAATGCTCAAGGTATAGAACTCAACTCCTTAGCTGCTACTTCTTCTCTTCTCTCCCACATCATTCTGCCCTCCTTAGAGAAAAAAGGCCCCAAGGACATCCAAATCAATGCTCAGTCCAACAGAGAAGGACCTGAAATGGATGTTTATCTTCTGACAATCCCACCAAACATCCATCCTGGTAAGCCAGATGGACGTTGCCTTTCTACAGGTATTGAAGATACACAATATTTCCTACAACCTGAGGGTGAATCAAGCTTAAATCCTTTATATTTTCTTATCACAATATCAGATTCTCTTTATCATAAGTATTCTGTGCTACAAATACTGAGGATCCCAGTTACAGCTGAGTGATATTTTCATTGTTAACAAATTATCCATCAAAGGTAATCTTTTTAATTTTAATTGTTGTTTGTGAACCACAGGTAAGCCAATCCTGCAAATGTATTAGAAATTCATATACATTCAATTAATAGTTAGAGAACAAATTTCAGCCAATAGTTTTTTGGAGGGGGAATTACTGACTCTACTTACTATTAATTGTTTGGTGTCTGTTAATGGCCACATATCATAAATGCACCCTAAATGGCTAGCTAATATCTTGTAACTAGGAGAATATTGAATGGTTGAATAAACAACAAACAATCCATTTGTGTTTTGAGTTTTCAGATTGAAAAAACAACATTCAATATAATTCAAGAAGCTTCTGATACACACAAACATTCTCAGGAATAATCTGGCCTGGGTAATTGCCTAAATACTTGCAAACACTGAATCCTATGACCCTAAACTGGAAGCACAGTTTAGTTTAAAAGGTGTAAGAATCGGCATTAGGAGATGCATATAGGAATGTTTAGTTTTTATGGCAAGTTGTGGCCAATGAGGATAAAGGCTAAAAGAGACAGCTCCCACACATAAATGAGACCTGTGATATGGCTTGTAGAGAAGGGGTGATCTGACATCTTTGCAGACTGAAGTCCCCCTTGTTATCCTCTACCCCACTTGCTTGTGGCAACAAGGTTCAGAAATAAGCTGAGCCCTATGGGTCAGATTGAAGAGAATCTACTCCAAGTTATTGATTATATGGTAAGAACCCTTGAACCTTGCACTGGACCAAAGCAAACATCTGCCGTGTTTGTGTGGGTGAGTAGATAGTGTCCCTCCCCCCTTGTTAAGTTAATAAAGTTGCAGCTTGCTGCTTAAATTCATCTCCATATCTGTCTTTTACTCACCTGAATACCTTGTTCACTTGCATATCCCAATCAAATTACTAATTGCCCTGTTCTTGCCATTTGCGGATGTCAGGGTTTTTTTTTTCCTATAAAAGCTGATGCTCCACGCATAGTGACACTTTTGGAAGTGATACCATCCTTTGAAGCTAGTTCATTTTTGGTTTATGGTTATATATATGGGGTCATTCTGATAAGATTGCTCTTTTCACTATTACTGATGCTATTATTCTGGCACAAGTACAGTGTCTTCTGTAAAATATAAAATACTCACTCTGTCAAGTTGGCCGTAGACATTGTTTTGGTCAATATAACAATGACATGGTTTTAGATGTACTCTTTGTACTTCTTTCATGGAAGTATCATAACTACTTGATTTCAGGTTCTAGATTCTAGGCTATAAAGCCAGCATGACCCTACCAATTGGGAGCGAGTGATTGTCTATTATCTTCAGGCTCAACACTACCGGATCATCAGACTGCTGATTTCTAGAAGTATTTTTCTTCTTATTTCACTCCCACATGCAGTTAAAATACACTGAACCTGGTAAAATAGAAGTCATGGACAGTCTAAACTAGGGGCAATGTTCCCTCTAATTTTTGACAGGCCGTGTGTGCAAAAAAATTCTTCTGTGCAAATTTTTGACAGGCTGTGTGCAGAAAAAAATTCTTCTGTGCAAATTTTTGACAGGCTGTGTGTGCAAAAAATTTCTTCTGTGCAAACTTTTCTGCTTTTGTGCAAATTTTTGTGCGTGCATTGTTTCACCATGTGTGTGTGTGGGGGGGTTAGGATCTGTGTGTGTGCGCACACGCGCACAGCTTAGGGGGAACAGTGCTTAGGGGTTCTGAATATTGGGGCCATGAGCAGGTGGTAGGTAGCTGGCAACACCCTGCCATTTGCATATTACCAAAATGGAAGGGGAGACCCATATATATATAGGAAGGGGATCCGAGTATGGAAAGGATTGAGAGCCACTGCCCTTACATTTGTTTATTTTCACCTTTTGCCGTAAGTAGTCTCCTTCTGAGTTCACACGAGAAATATATGTTTCAGTTATGATTAAAATTAACTTTTCCTCACAGATCTCAACTAGGAAACTGCACAACAACAGCTCAGTCTGTTTCGTGTAAATTTCTGCTTTACAATTATCGTTATAGCATAGAAAATAAAATGAATTTCTTACCTGTAAAGTCTTTGTCACATTCACAAAGAAAAGTATTTGGAGTAACATTGCTGCAGTTGCCATTCAGACAGGTATGGGGCTGGCACTGTCCAATTATTTCTGAACAGTTTTTACCTAGTGAAATCATAGTACAATAGTTAGTTAGCTTTTTATGACGAGTCAATTATATACTCAAATTTCAACATACACACACACACACATACACCTATGTGAATAGAATATTAAGCTTGCAAATTTCAGCCCAAATAGTTTGTCTCACAAAAAGTTATAAGCAACTGAAAACAGTTTTAATGGGAAGTGTTGAGCAACTTTAATTATATGCATTTCTATCAGACCCAAAAATATTAAGATACAGACATATGACTGATTCAGAGCTATTGTTGAACCTTTAATGTAGTATACATTATTTGTTTCTTAGTTATTTGAACATAGCTTATATTTACTTCCTAGAAACTTCAAATCCTAGAAACTGCTCAAATGTGGAATCAGTTTTTGCATGAATTTTGCTTAACATGCAACTCACTGGAAATTACTGCACCAATCATAAATTCCTTGTACTTTACAGTATATGGGTCTAAATACCATATAATTATGCTTGCCATTTGAATTGTTGCTATGATATTATTCACACTTGAGCAAATATTCTGTTTTGTTAGCATTATGGGAGACATTTTCCTTCACTTACACCTGTGTAAGCACACCTGTAATATCTGATTTTTAATCTTTGTACTCCTCCTTTCCATACAGTTTATTTAATATTAGAACTATACTGGCAATATAAATTGATGGCAGTAGCTGAATCCTGTCCAGTACAGTCTAGAACAGTTAAGCATATTTAACAGTATGTTCAAATAATGCTTGAATGAATTCCCACTGAAGTCATTAGGACTAAGCAATTGGCAGCCTTACATTTCAGCAGAGTTCAAATCAGCACCTTCCACAAAAAAACAGGCACAATAAGTACTGCAAAATCTGGTCCTAAATTATTGCACAAATTTACCATAAGAAAGCATTAACCAAGTGTACTGTAATTGTGTCAATAGGCCATCAGAAGCACACTCACAAAAGAGATCTATTTACTGCATTTACGTTTTTACATTCGTTTCAAGAGTTTGTTTAAAGTTTACAAAATAACATTATATTATTCTACAAATATTATCTATCTATTTGCGGGGGCGGGGGAAAGGATATTACCTGCAAATTGTGTGGGACAGGCACATTCATAGGAATCCCCAATAGTTCCTTCTCTTGTGTTAATACAGGAGGCATTGTTGTGGCAGGGTTTACTGGAGCATGCATCAAACTCCTCGCAGAATCTTCCAAAATACTGTTGAGAACAGTGGCAGTTATATGCCTCATCCCATACATGGCTTAAGCATCTGCCATGCCTGGAGCAAAAGGGTTCATTTGAAGACTGTTGGCAAAATTGCTGCTTCACTGTTACATTGAGCCGAAGGCCCAGGTTGCATAACGGTGGTCCTTTGGTCTGAACTTCTGCAAAATAATGAGTTCCAACTCCGAGCCACCGAGGGTCAACTTGGTGCATCCCTCTTAACCTGCAACCAAAAATCAACTGATCTTGAAGAAAGCCTTCTGAGGGGCACCTAATAAATTCTTCCATGGAAACATTCCCCAAATTCATCCCATGTGACTGAAAAGATGCTTCTGAAGATATGAACAGACTATCCCCCAACTGAAGCTGAAAAGGACATATTTGAGGGACATTCAAAGCCTCCTGTTCTAGGATGTTCCTTTCAATATTGGTATTTATATTCCAGCAATCTGTGTAGAAGTTCGAGCAGATGTTATTCATCAGAGTCCATTTCATGATGTGCTGCTTTGGTTGTGCGCGCCATTCCACACTCATTTGCCTCTCACATATTATCTGTCCATTTGCAGTGTAGGTTTGAAGATACACCATTACAAGAATGATTGATTTTATAGTCATTGTTTAGGCTAGTGAATTTGAGTTCTGTCTCAATTGCATAGGTACTGAAGACAATTTTAGAATAAGTGTCCCTTATTCACTGGGATCTGTCTGCATTTTCTTGTTTGTTGTAAAAATTGCCTTTAGGAATACAAAATAGAGAAAGAATATAATGTCTGTTTTCAGAGAAAGTACAGTAAAATATCACTGTAGCCAGAAAGCATTTGATACATTCAATACTAGTGATAAATATATCCACAATGGGACAGAGTTTGATCTTAATTACAGACATATAAAGCTGGAATAAATCCCCTCAAGCAATCAGAATTACACTATCACAATCACAGTCTGACTCTGTCCCTTTCTCTATTACAGCTGAAGATCTGGGACCTGTTTATATATAAGGTGGGGAAAAACTTTGTTATCTCCACTTTAACATGAGAAACGGAGCACAAAGAGATTAAACGACTTGCCCAAGGTAAGGCACAAATTCTGTGGCAAAACTGGGATCAAGGGCCAATCTGCACTTTAACCATAAAACAGTTCTTTTCTGATAATTAATACAAAAATTTAGGATAAATTTCCTAGATTTCAAAGATTAATATTCCCAAGTTTTGTAGGTCTGGATTACGGCCTCAGTTCATCAGTGCACATGAGGAGGTACTTCACTCTTAGCATGTCTCTCCCTTTTCAGCACGGCCATTAAGCAAGTACTTAAGTCTAATTGAAGTAAAAGGAACTTAAATAGGGGCTTAAGTGTTTTGCTGAACTGAGGCCTAAACCACTAGATCCACATAGCCCCAAAGCAGGATTTAAATGATGCAGTGGGTCTTGTTCCAGCCCTTCACAATCAGATCCACTTCATCCTGAGAGAATGAGAGTTGTTACAGTAAAGAAAAAAAAGTTATGGGTTTATTCTTGTTGGAGTTCTATTTAAAGCTGTGGAAACCCAGAAGAATTATGTGTAGCACCTTTAAAAATTGCCAGCAGCTTTTAGTATGTGTTAACAGTTTAATTTTCATTTTAAAAAATAAAACATTTTTTTTCTTCTGGTGCTATCATACTTTTATATCCCTAGTAATTTTCTTTTAGACTTTGAAATAGTTGTCATTCAGTGGAAATTTATGATAAACTAGAGGCCATGTTTTACAATAAAAGTAATTTAATAAAAAGAAACAATAACATTTCCATGTTGGTATTTGTGTTCATTGCTTTTTTATATTTTTACTGCATGTAGAATGACAAACAGATTCTCACACTTCTGTTAGAATATTTCTCAGTGTATAAAGTATTCCATCTAAAACACCATGTTAAAGGAATATTAAGGTTGCAAAGTCAAGCACTCAAAATTCAGGAAATGTCAGAAGTAAGGTTCCTGTGCCATCATAATTTAACCACCTCATGCATTGTTTCATGATACAATCTTTAATTATATGATCACTTTTTCCCCCCACACAGGACTCTTGCTTCAATACACAAGATGGACTTGCTCTGGGGATGAATCAGGGTTGTGTAATGAAGGAAAGTACTCTGTAGGACTCCTTCCTCAAAAGCTAGGTGTATAGTTGAATACACCTAATCTTTGGGATTCCTTGTCCAAATCTTAGTCTCCAGCATATCCAGTCTTCCTCCTCAGGGTCTTTATCCCAGGCTGTCTCTCAGACTCCTTGTCCATCTAGTCCCATATCTCCCAGCCACCAGGCTCTTTATCTGATGTTTCAGAGTAACGCCGTGTTAGTCTGTATTCGCAAAAAGAAAAGGAGTACTTGTGGCACCTTAGAGACTAACCAATTTATTTGAGCATAAGCTTTCGTGAGCTACAGCTCAAGCTTATGCTCAAATAAATTGGTTAGTCTCTAAGGTGCCACAAGTACTCCTTTTCTATTTGATGTTGGCATCTCGGTCACAAACCCAACTTCCCTCATTGGCTCCCAGACTCAGTCTCTTTGCTTATCCAATCTTAGTCCTCCCACATCTATCTCCCAGTCTCACCTCCCACCCCCTTGCCAACTCACAGACTCAATCTACTGCCTCAGATCTCTCTACAGTCCTGCCTCCACGTTTGCTCTTTTCTCCTCTGCATTCAAGACAAACTGCCTCTTCCACGCTGATTGGAAACTAGCAGTGGGATCACAGGAATTTTTTGTTTTTCTCTCATTTCTAGTGTCCAGCACCACAGTGTCCAGCAGCAGCCAAATCAGCAATGGTAAGGAAAGTCTGTCTAGTCCCTGCATCCTCAGGTTGGAACATGCTAAATACACACAGAATCTTCAGAAAATATAAATGCCAAACTACAGCAAGTCTGTCTTGACCATGTGTGAACTGTGATTTTCCAAATGTTTATGATTTGACCAGATTATTTTGTGTTTTCCCCTACAGAATGGCAAAAGGTACATCCCTGGTATTATGTTTTGGAACAAGGACTTCTCATTTGGCAGGTGAGCCTCCTGCCAAATGTGAAGCCCTTGTTCCAAAACATGAAGGTACTAGAGCTTCTCAGTGACATGGTTTTAAGATTTTTCTCCCCCAGAGTGGCAAAAGCAGCATATTTCCCCGTCATCTCTTTCTTGGAAATGGCTGAAATTTTATTTCTGAAATTTTCAAATAAATAATTCAGCCCTGGTATACATCTAGCATAGAAAAGTTGAGCTTGAACAGTTAAAGTTTGGGAATGTTATAAGAAACTGAAAAAAACTTGGCCTTATAATTGGAATTATCAAGGCAACATTAACTACAGGTGATGCTACCAGCTACATCTATAATATTTCTCTGAGAATAACTTATTTCAAACATCAAAATGGAATTACAATCTATTAAGTTTTCTCTTCTGAAAGAAAAAAAAAAAACTCTGCCACTATTTGCAACAGTGCCGTTCTCAAGGCCACATAAAAGATGAGGGTTCCTGCTGCTGGGTCTGTGACCCACTTAAGTAAAACTGTTTGTTATTGTAAGGTTAAGATAATCCAAAACTTGGAGGATAGGAGGTACAGATGGAGCTCAACACCAAAGTATGAGATCTCAGTGAAAGCCAATGGGAAACTGAGAACGTGAGACATCAGATCATGTTTAACAAATCTGTAACAAGAGTAGGCATGTGGAATATATGGACTTTGAACAGTACCAGAAAACTACATGAGAAATAAAATTAAAAAAAAAAACCCCTCAAACCACACATTTAAACATACATGGCATCAGTGAGACAAGATGGGCAGGGACTGGGAAGTGGTGCCTCTCAGAAAGAGGAACACACAAAAAAAGTATACATATTATGCTGGAAAACATCACAGTGAAGACCTTGATGGCTTGGCGGCCAGTGAACAACAACAGCCAGGCTGCAAACAAGATATGTCAAGTGTACAAGAATCCAAGTGTATGTACCAACAAATGGAGCAGGTGACAGTATAAAGGATATTCTACAAGTAGGTGCAGCAAGTATTGGATGACTTGCCTAACTTTGACATCAAGCTGATGATAGGCAGTTTCAGTGCACAAATTGGAAACCACTGTACTGCCTGGAAAGGAGATATGGGCACAGCAGCAGAAGGCATCTGAACTGATAATGGTGAATGGCTCTGGATTATTCTGTGGCACAAACACCCTAAAAATAGGACACAGTCTCTTCCAACATAAGAGGACCCACAACGTCACATGGAGATCACCAGACAATGTGACTGTCAACCGGATAGATCATGTTGGCATATCTAAAAGATGGACATCCTCTTTGAAGGACATCAGAGTCAGCAGAGGAGCAGATCTTGGCTCAGATCATTATCTTTTAGTGGCCATGTCACAACTTAAACTCTAAAGATGGACAAAAAGTGTTATAGAAATACAGACGTTCAAGGACGCAGAAACAGATCAGATTCTAGACTGCACTTCACAACTGTTCCAGTATTTTACAGGAGCTGATGAAAGTCTGGGAGAACAGAGAGTCAAAAGGGAAGAAGACAGTACTGAAGATAGCAGAGGAGGCAGTGGGCCATGAAAGAGGGCAGAAGATGCATAGATTACATCTGGAACATGGACAGGGACTGATGAGGAGAAAGCTCTGAAGGCAAAAAAGGAACAGTGCAAGAACGGCAGAAATTTTAGAGATGGATGCAAGATACAGAGAAAAGGATAAAGTAGTAAAGAGAAATGTGTGGGTTGTGGAGAAGGCTGCAAAAGCAGCAGCACAGAGGACTTCAGGAAATGCTACAGAATAGTGAAAGACCTCTCAGCAAGAAACAGACCATCATAGATTATGCCCATCAGGGACTCTAATGTGCAGATGTTGAAAACTCTTGAGGAACAAGCCAGATGATCGAAAGAACATGGCCATTCCATATCAATCTGCCATAAGCTGATGATTACGCACAGATTCAAGAAAAATGTCAATGACAAGTTAGAAGTAGTAGAGGGACCAATAATACCTTATGAAATTAAAGAAGCCATCAAAGGCTTTACACAGGTGAAAGCTCCTGAGCTTCACAGAACTCAAGCAGAGATAGTAAGGTGGGAAGCAAAATTCTCATTGAGCAACTAATGAAACTAAAAACATGAGTGAAAGAAGAGGTGCCACAAGACTGGAAAGATGGTATCACAGTGGCATTGACAAAAAGGGTGATCTGATTGGTTTCTATTATGTTGAATGGAATGAAGAGGCAGTGGATGAAACTGTGAGAAGAACAGGCTGGGTTCCATACAGATAGCTCATGTTGTGAACAGATACTCACTCTTTAACAGATCATCAAAAAAAAGCTACTACTTGGGACAACTCAATCTTAATTAACTTTATTGACTTTAAAGTGTTTGATAATGTCCACAGACAAGTACTGTGGAATATTGCTAAAAGCTATGGGATAGCAGACAAGCTGATTAACATGAGCAGTTTATATGATGGAAGTAGATGCCCAATAAGATCAGAGACAGAACTAGGTGAGCAGTTAGATATTGTGACTGGAGAAGAAGGGTGTGCTCACCATTCCTCTGTGCATTGCCATATCTGGGTGATGAAGTGGGCAACAAAAGGCACTGTGGAGCATGTAAAGGGGGTTAGTGAAGACAAGTTGCCCAACCTTGACTTTGCCAACAACATTGCTTTACTAAACATGGCATCAAATGGAATGATCACCCAAACAGAGAGAACAGGAAA